ATACAGATTTCTCAAGAGGCAGGTCAGGTGGTCTGGTATTCCCATCTCTTTCAGAATTTTCCACAGTTTGTTGTGATCCACACAGTCAAAGGCTTTGGCATAGTCAATAAAGCAGAAATAGATGTTTTTCTGGAACTCTTGCTTTTTCGATGACCCAGCGGATGTTGGCAGTTTGATCTCGTTCTTCTGCCTTTTCTAAAACCAGCTTGAACATCTGGAAGTTCATGGTTCACGTATTGCTGAAGCCTGTGTCCAGCATTTTGGGAATCTGACACTACCCAGCTGAGATGAATGGAAGAGGGCAGAGGAAAGTGCTAGAAAGGCTCATCTTGGTTGAATTAATTAATTTTTCCACAGTGTGCTCTGGGGGATTCTACTTTTCCTTTCAGCCTCCCGTCCCTTCCTTTCTCATCTGTTCTTCCTGTTCCTCTTCCCCAGATTTTTCACAAAGGAAAAACAGTCAAAGGGCCCTGCTGTATAATTAGGTGTCAAAAGACTGAAATCTTTATTGTTCCTTTCCTTGGATTTCCTCAAGGGTGGTCATGACTAATTAGCTATGAACTTGGGAGTGAGGAGGACATCTACCAGAAATGAGGTATATTTGGGGCCAGTGGCTTTCATACAAACACAAAAAGGCACATCAACTGTAATTTTAAACATTAAACACAGCTAACAAGCACAGGTAGTAAATAGATATTGTATTTTCATATTAATATCTCATTCAGCCCTCATTGCAGCATTCTCCATGAAATGCTTAAGAAATAATCTTTCTTTTATTAAAGAAAATACTAGGTCAGAGCTGTTGTAAAATTGTAAGGGGCAGTAGAGCCAGTGTGTGCTGCTAAAGCCTGTCCCCTGACTCTACCTGCTAATATGCACAGGGACCCTAAATCATGGAGAACCTACTGTGGCCAAGTGCCACTTTAACTGCCGTGTGACCTTTGCCGAGTCACTGAATCCTTCTGTACGTCAGTTTCCTCATCTCTAAAATGGGGATGGTAATACTAACTTTCTGGGGTTGCAAGGGATTAAACGCATTTTCCTAAATAGATGCCTGAGAATGGTGTCTGGCATGTAGCATATGTTCAGTAATCATAAGCTACTATAATATAATGTGGCAGTTAGTAGTAGTATTCCTAATTAGTAAGTGGAAGAATTTAGTTTCTACAACTGTCTCAGATTTCTTCACTATTCCGCAAAAGTCACCTTTGTGTCATATGGCATCACAGGAACACACAACTGAATAAAATTTTAGTGCTAAATTAATTATATAAATATAATCTAAGCAGCATTTATTATTTAGTGCTTAGCACTAAAATGCTAAGCAGCTACTTTAAAATTATGAGCATATACTAAAATATATGGTATTTTCCCCTCACTTTTAAAAAACTAATACACTGTAATAAAATTCACCCTCAAGTGTATAGTTCTGAGTTCTACCAAATACATAGAGTTGTATAACTACTGTATAGGACTGTTCTTAGAGTTTATTTTCATGAATATTTAGAAGGAATTTTTCTAACATTAGAAGCCAATGTAAGCACATCTCCTTGATTCAGGCACTTCAAATACACTTAAAACTTGGGTAATAATTCTTTCATTTATTAATTGACTCAAGAAGTATGTACTGAGTTTTTTCTACATGTGTAGCATTGTCATCATTTATAAAGATGAGGAAGAAGTATCCCCAAGTTTAACGCCTTCAAAAGAACAAAATGTAATACTTTTGTTTTATACGTCTACCTAAGAGATCAGGAGAGGGAAATAATAGGCCTTTTTGTAAATTCACTTTAAAAAGAGTGCATAAAAAGAAGGATGACAAAGTGTCAATTCTCCTCTTAATTAGCATGTATTAAAACAATGATATCCTCTCTCCCTATACCACCTACAACTCAGTTTAATTTCTCAAATATGTGAGCACATCACTGGGCAGACACAGTCCTTGTCCTCTAGCAGTTTGTAGCATTGTAGAACAGATAATTGTAATACACGGCAGAAGATGATCAAAGACACAAAATAAAATATATTCAGAAAGAGTCAGGGAATGTTGAGATGGGAGAGTCAATAAAGACTTTATCAAAGGCATAGCTTTCAAACAGTCTTGAAAAGGTGAAAAAGCTATTGGTGGAGGGAGGAGAAATTAGTACACTATAAAGCTGCTGCACCGTTCAATACAGTAGTCACTAGCTGTATGTGGCTATTTAAATTCCAATGAAAATTAAATAAAATAGTTTAAATTTTTAATTTTTCCACAGTCCGACTAATCACATTTTTAATGTTTAATAGCCACATGTGGCTAGTGGCTACCATACTGAACAGGATAGAGTACAACATATCCATCATAATGGAAAGTTCTATTGGATAGTGTTTCTATAGAAGGAACAGCAATGAAAGATCAGGAAGTGGGAATAATGAATTACCCAAATCTCTGTTCAAGTCCTTGGACAAAATAACAGAAATAATGGTATATCCATGTATTTCCTCCCCAAATATAAATTGGAAATATGTACCTATGTAAAGCTCAATGACTTAGTTGTTTTATTGGCCGCTCTGGTTCAATTGTCATGCTGAGTTCATACTATAAATCAATAATGAAGACATAAAACCTAACAGGCCTATCTAATTGCTCCATCTATCTGAGTATGCAGATCACAGTGGCTGAAAGCCAGGCCCAGGGCCCAGCCAAGTGTGTTGCTGCTGTTTCTTCTGGCAGGGACCTGTTAGCTGAGTGGGTCCAAGCTGAATGGCTTGGGCCTGGCACAGTTGCAGTTCCCTAAGAACATGCTCACTATTGTCATTTGCTTCTTTAGAAATAGTGCTAGTATCCATGGCAAAACCTAAAGGCAGGTAGAAGTTTGAGCAAACTATAACTTAGAGAAACAAGTCCTGCTGTATGCATACAGATGCATTCATCAATTGAGCCATGTGTGACCTTAGTCACTGATAAATTTGTGAAGGTAAAGACTTCAGCCTTTTGGTAAGCATTGCTGTCCACACAATTGCTGTCAGAAGGGTGGTTCAGCCAAACAACCGGGTAGTGTTTTTACAGAGCCAGCCAGGTCATCATTTGTCTGGGATCCAAATGGACAGAGGTATGTAGGACAGAAATATCATGTATCAAAGTTTTCTAAATCTGAGTCTAAATGTGTGTCTTCATTAGTTTAAAAAAAACAAACGAGAAAATCAATCACCTGGAGAAACTAAAGGCAGCCCCAAATATACTGAATCCATACTTTTTTAGTTATTTGGTGCCTCTTATTTTTAGATACAAAAGTGCTTACAACCTGACTTTGATTCCTTTAAAATATTGTTCAATAATAATTGATTTAATTTGCATATTTGGGGGTGGGTTTTTAGACTCCATCATTAGGCATTGTATTCTCTTAAAAGGGCTTAAGAGTACCAGAAAAAGGCAGGGGGAAAAACATACTGATTTTAAATAACTGTGTGCTTAGTCACATCTGACTCTGCAACCCCATGGACTGTAGCCCTCCAGGCTCCTCTGTCCATGGGATTTCCCAGGTAAGAATACTAGAGTGGGCTACCGTTTCCTACTCCAGGCGATCTTCCTGATTCAGGGATCAAACCCGTGTCTCTTGCATCTCCTGCATTGGCAGGCGGATTCCTTACCACTGCAAAACCTGGGAAGCCCAATTACTTTTCAAAAGTAAGATATACTGTATGCATACCACACATCCTATAGATATATATGCACTTACTTTTTTTTTTAGAAGTAAGTGTATAGAACCATATTCTTCCCACCCAAATACTGACATTTGGAGGAGTCATCTAAATGTCTTTATAATTCTATAATCTTATACATGAAGAAAGCAATTGCTATGCCATGAAAAGTATTTTTATAACCCTATTTACATATAAACATCTATTTTCAATGTACTATTAACTAACAGTGTCAAGGGCAAATAGAAGAGTTAAGTCTGAATACTAAGAAAACTTAAATAAATATTTTTCAGTTTATTAGATTATCTTGAAAATGCTTATGATGATACATGGATTTTAATTATTTGATGCTTGTTGACTTCATATTTATTTGAGACTGTTCCCACAATGAACTCAGCATTTTCAAAGAATTGAAGGAGAGACCTTTTTTTTTTCCTTTCTGAACAGTCAAATGAAGGAAAAATGATTAACTTCAATTTTCTTTGCTTTTAGAAGGCTTCTAAAAGTTTCATAGGTAGGGAAATCATACTGATGACTCAACTATCCATAGTGTTATTTTGCTTGTTAATGCTACCTCTGTGGAAAATACTAAGTCTAATTTTTCTCCCTGCAAAATAAAAATCTACTACATTTATTGGGGAACCTACCAGCTATAGGAACTCATTTAGTTCAGGATAGTCCAGCTGCTGAAATACTGTTGATGACATTTGCCTTCAACTGGATTTCAGGAACAGCACACATGTCATTTGGCTCCCAGTTTCATAATTTTGGCATCCGTACATTATTTAGACAAGCTTAGGCTGCTTTGCTTGGCTATGATAGACATTTTAGAATATCTCTGACTCATGAATATAAATAGTTGTGCAAAAATAAATTTTATAAAACCAGAGCTGGTAACAAAAAAATCACCTAGATATCAACAACTCTGAAAGAATCTAGTGTCACATTCCTTAGAATGTCAGATTAAACTAACATGTGCCAGTCAATATTGCTACACTGCGACCCTTGATGCCTCCTAAGCAAAACTATTAAGTCCAACATTCTCTCCTGTAAGCACTTATCTGTAAGGATGGCTAACATGTCCTCTGAAGCAGATATTGAAACTGATTGGACAATAGGTAGATACCAGACAGAGGCCTGGGGGCCGACCTCTAGAAATAGGGGGAGAAAATCTTAATCTGCAACACAATGCCGTTCTCTTGAAACCCTATCATTTTCACTTCCCATGTGTCTGCTGCCTGACTGTGAATGGATTTGAAAAGGAATGGTTAGTGCTGAAAATTGGATCAGAGCTAACATTCTCTCATTTTTATCAGCAGCTGCCAAAGGTCATCTGACATAATAGCTGATGAATTCAAGCCCAGTGGATTTCATTTGCAATTTTCAATTTACCGAGGCCTCCAAACCCCACGGTGATAAAAGCTTCCCCTATCGTGGCCTGTCACAAACATCAAGAAACTGCACAAACCCACAAGAAAGAAAAAAGAGAAAGCTGTGCATCCTTGCAGGTACAGATAAGGAGAACAGGAAGGAATGGTATCATGCAGGAAGGTACGGAGCAGCTTGTGTGGCTAGTTCTCTAAATGCCAATTGAAAGGAAAAGACTATGAAGAACAATCAAATAACTTCCACAGAATAACATCATGTTTCTTTGGGGCTTGCGTGTGAAAATTGCCTTCTAATCTCTTACTTGACATGTCCTCAAACAAAAATATGAGTGTAAATATGTGGATAAATAAATGAATAAATAATCCTTGCTTATTTAGTCCCTGAAAAGAAAGTATGCTCTGTATGTTGTATTTACCATAGTTTTGATTTACAAAATGCAGGCTTGTAAAGGCTCTTTTATCATGGAAGTGTCGGTTAGCACTAAGAAATCATTTGTTTTGTTACAGAGGAATGGTAGATCCTTTGACTGATCTGTAAAGGCAGTCAAAGGACTGGCTAGCAACTACTTGTAAGTGGATCTAGACAGTGTATATCAATGTATTAGCAAGAAGAAAGCCATTTCCCCCCTTTGTCAAGCTGTTTATAGTGAACTTAGGCAAGATTAGGGACTGAATCCTGTTCCCAGCAGTTCAAATTGAGGAGACCATATTCGTGTTCCTTGGAGAATGGCAAGTTTAAAAGCCAAGCAGTCCAGCAGTTGTTCAAACTGAGGAGACCATATTCGTGTTCCTTGGAGAATGGCAAGTTTAAAAGCCAAGCAGTCCATCTTCATCCTATGCTACTCAACTCATACCACAGCAATGAAAAGAGAGCAGAGAGATGAACTTTGAGAGGTAACTGCTGGGAGAATTTAATTTCAGATGTGGATGTCTGGATCCCATTTCTACCAAATAGATTCAGAAAGCCTTATGAAATTGGTCTAATGAGGCAAGAGGACTTGGCAGTGGGCATCTACCAAACCTGCCTAATGACAGCATTTCTCATGACAGTTGACAAGAAAACCCGAGCATGACATCAACAGGACTAGGATATTTACTTCATTTGTGTGTTGGTGACTGTGAGACAATCAGAGTTTGGACAAGAAAGGAGATAATTCCTGGTTGAACTGATATGACTGAGAAAGATTGCCTCTTACAGAATCACTATTTAAATTGTCACAGTAAAAAATAACAACATGGGTTATTCATCATATTTGAATCCTTAGTTCTTTGAAATTTAGCTGTTAGGATTTTCTATTAGTCAAAAATTTAATGACTTTTTAATTCTTGAAACTCTCAAAATAGAAAATATGGTTTCCTCAGCAGTTAAAGATGGCAGGAATTAACATTTTGAAATAAGGGATATAAAATTTTATTCTTAAACTGCAGAAAATATGGAAAGTAACCATATTTTAGTATTTTTTTGGTCAGGATGCTACTTTTCAAAGGTTACTTACCCCTTGCCCCTCCCTGCCCTTTTTTTTTTAGTTTTTATAGGTTCAAAGAGAACTGTCTATAATTTGCAGTTTCTATGATTTCTCTTTGATTGTTAGCATAATACAGAGATCCTGGTGATGACAAAAGATTACCTAATAGGGTCTTATTAATAATTTAATCAGTCCTTAAAAAAATGCATATAACTAACTTGGTGAGGGTTTTTCATTATCTCTGTTCTTCTTTGACAGTAATAGAAGGCAAGCTGTACCACTTGGTCTGTAGTTACACAGCAGAAAGGTTAATCTTTTTTATGTTCCTTCTGTTAGAAAAACAGCTCTTGAGTCTTCGAGGCAGAGTCCTAAATTGTGCTTGTAGACTGGTTCAGAGAGACTGTTCCTTCTCGTGCCCTGTGGCTAATTACATTCAGTCAGGTCAGAGCATTCACTGTAGTTTGAATGGTACAATAGGGCATTTCCCATTTCATTATTTGATTCTTTCATTCCTTCACCTAGCATTTATTTAGCACCTATTAATTGCTATATACTATGTGGAAAATTATGAATAAGAATTTCCCTACTTTCAGTCAGTTTACAGAAGAGTGGAAGAAAAAAATGTAAATCTGTTTTCTCCACCCCTACCTCCCTCATCCCCACTCCATTGAGTTTATGTCATACAGCTATAAAACTTTAAATAATGAAAAGTTTATCCTGAGAATTTGGGCAATGTAATGATACTGTTGACATCTGGACAACATTTTATTTCAGGTGAAAGCTGTGTTCCACTTTTTTTGTTTGTTTGTTTTGCTTTGTTTTTTGGTAATAGATGTATCACCATAACATTTTCCCAAGTCAGCATACAATCTATACTTATTTACTAAATACTTTTCTTTGACTGAACTCAGCTTTTTAAAATTAAATTCAATTAGGAATAAGTCATTGTCTAAACTGTCACAAACAGCCTATATCATGAATAAAATATAGTAACAAATATAAATGTAAAACTACTAATGTATTAGTCTGTGTACCACCTACATGAATTCAGATTTCACATGTGTTATGAATTCTACACTTTGGGAAGTACTGGTTTGGTGTGTGGTGCTGATAAAGACCAGCATTGTAGATCTGACCTCCATGAGAACAGAAGCTCCACGAGAAGAGGTATTTTGATTTGTTTCTTGTTGACCAGCAGTTCCTAGAACAATGACTAGTACATATTAAATAATAAAAATATTTGCTAAATAAATGAGCAAGTGTCAATAAATGAACTTCTCAAAGATCAGCCTGTATTTCCCATGTAGTCATAATCATATTTTATCATGATTACTTGACTAATATCTCTCTTAATCACTAGACTGGTAAAAAATCTTTGTCTTTTTTGTTCATCTCTGTTATAATCTCAGTGCCTTGAAAAATGTATGGCACATAGTAGGTACTCAAAAATTCATTGAATAAAGGGATAATGCCATTCCATGGTCATAAAGCTTTTTCTGTTATCTCACTGATCATTTTTGTAGACGAGTTGATTTGGCCAAAATTAGCTTAAAGCTGTTTAATGCCTGGCATGTTAAAAAAGCAAACCTTTGTTGAGTAAGTGAATGAGTGAATAAACATTTTTGTGATACCAGAGAGAGTCAACTGCTTATATGAAAGAACTTTAAAGGAGAATAATCCTTTCTCAATGCTTAAATGTAGTGCCAATTTTCAACTGTTGAATAAGTCATCCCTGGCAAGCCTTTCTTACTATTTTACAAATTAAGACTATACTGAAATTTATGTGTTTATAGAAAAACTGACAAATAGTGAGGTCTGCAAATTACATTAAATGGTTCCAGCAAGTGACCTGATGGTATATTTTCATTTAGATTGCTTTTATGCATTCCTTGATTCACTTAAAAATCAAACACTTTGACTAGACAAGTAGTATTTACAAAATCTGAGTTTGTGCTTTTCAATAATGAGAGCATCCATAAGAAGAAATAGTGAAGAATTAGCTGCATTTCTCTGGTCCCACCCCCAAAGAGTACTGTCAATCACTGCCCCAAACATAAGCTTTTGTAGGTTTTGAATGCTTTGAACTGGAAAACGACTATTTTAGTGGATAATTAAAGGGTGTTACAACTGATTGAGCTTGTGTAGAATCAGGAAAATTGGTGGGATTGGAATGGACATATAGGTCACACCACTTTTCCTTTGTAATATTTTCTACTATAAATGATGCTTCAGTTGAAAATCAAGCCTTGAACTAAGGTATCACAAATGGGTTGATAAGGTATGGCTGTAAAATCAAATACTGGGAGAACTGTGTTTATCACTTGAGAAATCATACTCAAACAAAGGGATGATTTCTTTAATAGCATAATTTTGTCTCTTACATTTACAACTTGAATTATGTATGTTATAACCACAGTTTATTTTAGCAGATCAGCACTTGTCTGTGCTGCATAGAATAGGGTTCAGTAAGATATCAATGAGTATCACACAGAAGAAAAATCTGGGGCCAAGAAAGTTTGCGTTAAATGGATTTTTTAAAAAAAAAGTTCCCCTGTCCTTCAGAATATGCCAATATATATTATAACCAGTCAAGAGTCATCTTATTTAAGCAGGAAGTTTTTTTGTTTTTTTTTTTTTCTCACAGAACATCTATTAGAATCATCCAGAGCACAGATTGGATTGATGCTGAAGCTCTAGTACTTTGGCCACCTGATGAGAAGAGCTGACTCACTGGAAGAGAACCTGATGCTGAGAAAGATTGAGGGCAGGAGGAAAAGAGGGTGACAGAGGATGAGAAGGTTGGATGGCATCACAGACTCAATGGACATGAGTTTAAGCAAACTCCTGGAGATAGTCAAGGACAGGGAAGCCTGATGTGCTGCAGCCCATGGGCTCACAAAGAGTGGGACACGACTGAGCGACTGAACTGCAGCAGCAAAGAGCAGATTGGGAAAGTCTCAAATTACAATCATCTCTATGGAACAGCCTTCCTGAAACAGTAATGCTGATGACTACTTATGAAATATCTTCTGTGACAGATAACAGAGACTCCACCCAGCCTGTCTTACAAAAAATATCGTATTATAAAATGACAAACATATAGAAAACAAAGAAGAATATTATAAAACCATGGGTACACATTACTCTATTTAGTCATTTTCCATTTGATAAGATCTTTTAAGCTGTAATAAAATATTATTGAAATAATTAAATTCTCCTGTGTGTCTCTTTCCAATCCTACTCTCTCCTTACTTTTCCCAAAGGTAGCCAACATCCTGAACTTGATACATTCTTATGTATATATCACATTTGTATGGCTTTGTATATTTTAAAAGTTACTTTATAATACTTCTGCAATTTTCACTAAAAATTATATTTTGAGATATGTCTACATTGCTGCATGTAGGACCAAATTACTTTATATAAAACTGCTTTACAAGTATATTTTATTGGTCTATTCCACTAATGTTGGAAGTTTCTTTTCAGCTCTTTAGTAATATAATGTGGGAATGAGCAGTCTTGAGCCTCTCTCCTCCTTGGTTTGAGTGTGCTCTTACTCCTCCTTGCTGTGGTGCTGCCCAGGGAGTGTTCTCGTGTACCCACTGGGGCTCACACCCAGTGAATTTCAGACATCCTTCCCCTGACATGAAGGTGACTTCTGGCAAGTAGAGCAGCTGCCCCAGCGGGCAGGTTCCTGCTGAATTCCCAGGCACTCTGGCCAGCTTCTCAGGAAGTTAAGTAGTATTCCTTATAGAAAGATAACTTGCAAGGTTCATGAGCACCCCACTACCTGCCCAAGCTCATGGGTAGCCTAGGCTTACTGTACCTTACAAGAATTAAAGCGCAGATTTGAATAAATTCATTTCCTAATTGGATTAAGATAATCTTAAGATTGGCAGTGGTCCGAGCCTGTCTTTTTACCAGAAACCAATGTAAACCCGGGGCTTCCCAGGTAGCACTAGTGGTAAAGAATGTGCCTGCCAATGTAGGAGACACAAAGATGTTGGTCCATTCCCTGGGTCAGGACGATCTCCCAGAGGAGGGAATGGCAACCCACTCCATCATTCTTGCCTGGAGAATTCCTTGTACAGAAGAGCCTGGTGGGCTACAGTCCATAGGGTTGGGTTGCGAAGAGGCAGACATGACTGAAGTGACTTAGTATGCACACAATGTAAATCCCCTTTAGAGAAAAATACTATTATCCAAAGCCTCAACATATCTGTAAAATAATAAAATGGAAGAAAAAGGGAAAGCAGATACTAGAAAATAATACATAGGAGATAATGGAATTATCAGACATAGGCTTAAAAATAACTATTTCATATGTCCAAGGAATTAAAAGGCAAGGCAAGGAAGAGAACCTCAGTAGGAAATAGAAAGTTATAAAAAAAAAAAAGAAATAAAAATTTTAGAAATGAAAAATAAAATAACTGGATTCAACAGCCAGTTAGACAGTTTAAGAAAGAATTTATGATGCAGAACACAGTTCAGGAAGAAGCATCGGACAAGCATACACAAAACAATGAAAATACAGAAAAAAGTAGCAGAGGCATATCAGATATATTTATAGACAGAAAAAAGCACTAGTTGAAGAGAGAATGGGAGAGAACTTCCTAAACAGCTAAAAGATATCAAACCACATTTTAAACAAGTATGGCAGACCCTACACAGAACAGCTACAGAAAACCATTGCTAAGCACATAATACAGAAACAACTGAAAACCAAAATCAAGGTGAAAAATCTTAAAAGCAGAGAGAAAAAAAGAAACATTACTTTCAAAGAAGCAAGAATAATATATTTTCTCAAAAGAAACAATGTAAATCAAAGTACAAAGGAATTATGTTTTCAAGGCATTCAGTTCAGTTCAGTTCAAGGCATTGAAAGAGCATAATTGTCAACCTAGATAGAATTCAATACACAGTGAGTACATCTTTCAAAAATGAAGGTATTCTCAGACAAAATTAAAAGATAGCATATTGGTACATTTATACATTTCATAATGATAAAAGTTTCAGCTCAACAAGAAGATTAAAATTTCTGACTGTAGGCACCAAATGACAAGAGATTTAAAATGTACAAAGGAAAAATGGACAGAATTAAAAGAAGATAGAGACAAGTCCACAATCATGTTGGAAGTTTTAATACACCTCTCCCAATAGCTGATGAAACAAGCAGACCAAAAAATGATATGAACATGGAAGATTTAAATAGCAGAAGTGAAAAACTGGACACTTCACCCTAGACTGCTTTCTTTTTAGTTAATGTGGAATATTTATCCAAATTGATATGAGCCAAACTATAAAATAAGTCACAGAAAATTTCAAAAGATTAAAATAATTCAGAGCATTTTCTGTGGCATAGTGGAGATATGTGAGTGCATGCTAAGTCGCTTCAGTTGTGTCAAACTCTATGACTCCATGGTCTGTAGCCTGCCAGGATCCTCTGTCCAAGAGATTCTCTAGGCAAGAATACTAGAATGGGTTGCCATGCCCTCCTCCAGGGGATCTTCCTGACCCAGCGATTGAACCTGTGCCTCTTAGGTCTGCTGCATTGGTAGGTGGGTCCTTGACCACTAGTGCCACCTGGGAAACCCAGTGGAAATGTATTAGATACCAATAACAACAATGCTAAAAACCCCACAGATTTAGGAATTAAATAGTAAACCTTTAAATGTTCAAGGGGGTGTCAAAGAAAAAAACCATTCTGCACATTAGAAAATATTTGAATTCAATGATAATGAAAATGCTACATATCAAAATTTGTGGAATACAGTTAAAGCTATGCTTCAAGTGTCATTTAGAGCCAAACTAGACATAACAGATATAGACATTTACCTCTAGAAACTAGAAAAGAAAAATTTATAGAGGCAGTATGACTGATGAAGGGGAAAACAGAAAAGGTATAAATGTCAGAACAAGACTAGAGACCTCACAGATGTGTGAAAACTATTGTAATTATTAAACTAAGTTATGTGAGGGAGAGAACATAAAGGTTCTCTTTGCCTGTTATGGTCTTCACTCATCTTTTACATCCAGGATCTCCTTCAGGACTCCCAGCATCTCCAAATATAGGATTATCATTCCCATTCTACTAGTAAGGAAACTGAGGTTGAGAGTGCATTTAAGAGGTCATAGAAATTTAAAATGCTAGAATGCTAGGGGATAGAACACAGATTTTTCTAGATTCTTGTCCAAAGTCCCTTCCAGAAAAAATGTTAAAAAACGAATACATATGCAGCTTCACTGGTGGGCCAGTGGTTAAGAATCCTCTTGCCACTGCAGGGGACATGGGTTCAATCCCTGGTCCAGGCAGATTCCATATGCCATGAAGCAACTAAGTCTGTGTGCCAGAACCACTGAGCCTGCACTCCAGAGCCTATTGCTGCAACTGCTGAGCCCACAAGCCATTAACTACTGAAACCTGTGCACCTAGAGCTCATGCTTGCAACAAGAGAAGCCACCACAATGAGAAGCCCACACCCTGCAACAAAGAGTAGCCCCCACTTGCCTCAGCTAGAGAAAGCTCATATGCGGCAATGAACATCCAGCACAGCCATAAATAAATAAACAAAAACTAATATATATATATGCATCACTCAGGGCATGTAGGTACATAATAAGTATTGTTTGAAATGTAAAGTATATGCAGATATGAAAAGATATATACAAATGATTTTACAAAATACTTTTGAATGCACTCTTCCCTCAACTTAGAATGCCTTTCTGTCCTTTATTCTCTGGCAAACTTTTAGTTGTCCTTCAGAACTCCACCAGAGCATTTTCTTCTCAGAGTAATTATCCTTTCCACATAAGCAAAGTTCAACACTGAGTTCATTTGCAGAAGTGATACTGTGTAGACATTAGGAGCAAATGCTCTAAAGTTAGACTCAGGTTTGGCATCCTAGTTCTGGCACTTAAGGAGTTGTATAACTTTGGAAAAGTTACTTAGCCCCTTGGAGTCTCTATTTCTTGCCTATAAAATAAAGATGATAGTAGTATCTAATCTATCTTATAACATTGTTGCAAAGATTAATTTAATTTCTATGAAGTGTTAGAACAGCACCTGAGACACCATAGGTATAATATAAATGTTAACTGGAGTTAATATTATTCAAATATAGTTATCGTGTACCTACAAGATGCTAGGGACCATGCTAAGCTTTGTTGAGAGGCAGAAGTGAAATAGTTTCTTGCCTTGTAGTGAGGAGAACAGACCATAAATAAGTAAATAAAGATAATTTTGAATTTCAAAATTTTTATAAAAGACACAAACACAGGGTTATAATAGAGAGTAGTAATATTAGTCGTCATTGTCATCTACTTAAAGTAGGATGATCAAGGAAGAGACCTTTAAGTGATGGGGGAGTATAAGTCTTCATTACTACTAATGAATAATGGGAAGAGATATGAGGGTATCTGAAGGAAGAGTGCTCCAGGCAGGAGGAACAGACAATGTGAAGATGCCAAAATTAGAACAAATTTGTATCTGAGGACAGAAATGGGGGCAGAATGAATGGGAAAAAAAGTGGAGAGGATGAGAAAGTTAGTAAGGGGAGCAGAGGTTGGATCATGTAGACTTCATAAGCCATGGAAAGAAGTTTTGATTTTAGGTGTAGCTAGGAATCACTATAGTAAGTTATAAAGAGTAAAGGGCTATGATTCAATCAATGTTGTAGAAAGCTCACCCTGATTTCTCTTCCAGTCTGAAGGCAAGACTGGAAGCAGAGACTCACAGGAGACTGATGGGGGAA